TATGTATATGTATATGTATATGTATATGTATATGTATATGTATATGTATATGTATATGTATATGTATATGTATATGTATGTGCCCGGAGAGAGATTAACCAGCTGGTAATCTGCTTAGTAAGGATGTTTGTTCCTCTTCTGTTTTCCAGGCAGAATTTCTGCGGCTGTCTCTTGGATTCAAATGTGACCTCTTCACTTTAGAGAAGAGAGTTAGACTTGAAGAACGATCTCGGGATCTCGCAGAAGGGTGCCTGAGGAAAGAAATTGCTGGCGCCTTGAAACTACTTGATGTAAGGAGGAGGAAGATGTGTTCTGTTATACACATCTATTGCTTCAGAGGGTGAAGGCAGACCTTCTAGATCAAGTGTTTCTCACCTGTGGCCATTCTTAAAGCGAGAGAGTAAAAGACAGCAACAAATGTGCTATATCTACTCTATTTCCCCGAATATAAGATCTAATCTTATATTCCCCCCCAGCCCCCAGGAGCACTCTACAAGCCTCCTAAAGGCTATGCATGGAAAAAACGGGCCATTTTTGGAAGGTCTGCAGAGTACAAAACCATTTTTTTAAACTTGCCTCTTCAAAATCTTGGTGCATCTTATACTCCGGTGCATCTTATACTCCGAAAAATACGGCATTATCTCTTCTTTGAGTTCCTGAGAAGAGGTAGGGTAGATATTTATTAAATAATAGCAAATTATATATTGTTTTCCAGACATGCAAATCTCTAGCCACAGACAAAGAGATTTCTCTGCACTGGATATGGGTGGGCTTATAAATACAAATGGCAATTATACTGTTGAAAACAGAGGGCTCAAAAGTCAACTTTGGAGCTAAATGTTTGGCAGAAGGCTGTCCCGTTCGTTGTTGCTTCGTTTGTGTAGAGTACAATGCTTGCCTTCTGCTTGCGTGCACATCCTGGATGTTCTTTGTTCAGTCGTTAGCCTCTCTAAGTGAAGATAACCAGGTGCAGGAGATAGTGAAGAAGCTGCAGAAGAATCTGGACTTGCTGGATCATCATGCCACCAGAATCGCCAGCAAAGCAGAAATGCTGGGAGCTGTTCATCAGGTAGGTTGCCTGATCCAAAATTGTAAAAAAATCAAAAGGTCTTTTCCAAGCTGAGTTTGATTCCTGGTGACTTCATGGACCCACCCGCTCTCTTTTTGCAATATCCACATGTAGGGAAGGCAGGGCTTAACACCAGAGGTGAGCTTCTGCCGGATCACGCTGGTTTGGGCAAACCGGTAGTTAAGATTCTGCGCAGTTCACCAAACCGGCAAATCCCATCACTGGCTGGCCACGCTCCCGCTCACTTTTTGGGCTGTTTTCTGTGCCATTTTTTCAGGCCAAAAACAGCCTGGAAAATGACATGAAAAACAGCCAATAACAGCCAAAAAAATAGCCTGAAAGCAGCCCGAAAAGCAGTCTGAAAATGGCCCCCAAAACAACCCCCAAACAACCTGAAAATGACCAAAAAAGCGGCCAAAAAACAGGGCAAATATGGGTGGGGGCGGGGCCAGCCAGTGGTGGGATTAGCCCCCAACCGGCTGAATCCTACCTCTTTGAGGCAAGTGGCCAGGAGGCAGGGCTGGGTGTGTTGAGTGACATCACCCACCCAGTCACATGACTAACCAGCCACGCCTACCCAGCCAGTTGTTAAATTATTCAAGTCCCACCTTAACACCCGGAACAATCTACATTCCTGGGATTTCCTTGTCTCCTTCACAATGATAAATCAGACCTCATTTAACTAGTCAACATCTGGCAGAGTTAGTTAGATGTTGCCACCTGGTTGGGTTTTATGGGTGTGGCGTTCTTTCAAGTAATCATGCAGAAAATATATATGTGCAGAATTGAATATTCTTTATCATTGGTTTTGAGTTGGCAGGAGGTTGCCATCTATTTGGAAGGATAGATCAAATGAAAAGTTCTTTGAAAGTAGAGTCTGGAACAGTGTTTCTCAACTTTGGCAATTTTAAGATGGGTGGACTTCAGCTCTCAGAATTCCCCAGTCAGTATGGATGACTGTGGAATCCTGGGATCCACCCATCTTAAAGTTGCCAAACTTGAGAAACACTGTTCGGGAAGAATCCTATCCTAGCAAATTCTGTTTGTAAAATGATGGTGGGATTTGGAAAGCTTGTGGAAGTTAGTCAGCCAGAAAGAAATATGAACCAACAAGATAAGGAAGAGATGGAACATAAGGATTTAATATTCTTGAGTTTCTAGTGAAAAAAATAACTTCCTTATTGATTCGAAAGAGCAAGTTGAATCGCTACAAGTTTGAATAAATCTGCAAAGGCATTTGTGATGCAACCTTTGTGGCCGGTGTTACGTCACACAACCTGTAAAAGCAGATATTCCCTTGATTTGTCCTCTGTATTGTGTTGGTGATAGTTTTAATCCTGATTTACTAGTACAGTCCAAGCATAATTGTTAGATGTCGCAGAAGTATAGTAGAGCTATGGTTCAAGAATTTTAGATACCGGACTTAGGCTACTGTGATTGAGAAGTTCTGTGAACTTCTGAATAGCAGCATCATGTCTTAACAATATTTTAATTGATGTTTTAAGTTGTGAAGAAGCTTTTCATCTGACCCAAACACTCTGCCACCTTAAATGTTTTATGTAGCATTTTGCCTGAAGAATCAGTCTGGCTTCTCAAAACCTTATTTTTTCTGAAGTTTGAAAAGGATGAGCTGCTTATTTGTAATATCAGTTCCTCCAAGACAAAATTCAAGACTATGTGTCTCAAGTAGAGAAGCTCTTTTAGCATTGGTCCAGCCCAGTGGTGAAATTCAGCCGATTCTATCTGGTTCGGGTGAACCGGTAGCGGTGGCGGCGGGAGGCTCCACCCACCCACCCGGACGTCATCACGTCCCATTTTCAACGCTCTGCGCATACGCAGAATGTCCGCGCGCTCACATTTGCAAACCGGTAGCGAAGGTAAGTTGATTTCACCCCTGGTCCAACCTTAACTCTTGATTTGCAATATCAATCTGTGGAATTTGCCAATCTTTTCATTGAGTCTCACACCCTGTTCCTTGACCGAACGATAACAGGGCGTCCTTCGTTCTTACTCATCTCTATGGAATAAGAATTCTTTAGCAAGCGGTTGGCGCTACACTCCTGCTTCATACATACCTTGCCACCAGTGGTCAGTTCCGGATTCTGTTGCAACCAGTACGGTGCAATGGGGCCGGGCATCCACCACATGAATGCGCGCAGCACGCACTTGTGCAGCACGGGAATGGATACTTACCACCCGTGACACTTTGTGACGCCTCCGTGATGCTCCAGCTGCTCGACGGAGCATCGCACAGACACCGTACACTCCATGCTCATGCGCGGAAGCCCCGAACAGCTCAAATATAGGTAAGGAGCTCGGTTGGTTGGGTGGCCCTCCGAAGCACCGGAATGGTACCTGATGCTCCCAGCAGGCACCGGTACACCCGTACTGGGGTGTACCGGTCGTATCCCACCACTGCTTGCCACCATATTCTTTTCCTTAAAAGTTATGTGGCATTCTTCTCCAGCCTAATAAACATTGATGCACCCTCACCACCATCAATGTGGTTACAGAATCCAGTAGACCAGTGGTCCCCAACCTTTGTGGCTTGGCGGCCTGGCTGAGATATGTGTGGGGAGAAAGGAACTGGCCCAACCAAGCGACAGGCCAGCATGCATGTGTGCAAGTGTCCACTGGCTCTCCGCTCACATAAGTTAACCTGCACACATGCACTCTGGCCAGCCACTCGCGCAGCCCAATTCCGAATAGGTCACAGCCTGGCAGTGAGCCAAAACCCGGGAGGTGGGGACCCCTGCAACAGACCATCATAAATCACAGACCATCATAAATCACAACTAGCTGCCAGGTGTGTTGTAGAGTCCAATACTTGTTCAGTTTGATTGCACTTCTGGATCCTTGAAAATTGCTTCTTTCCACAAGTCGTCCTCGAACTTACAAAAGTTCACTTAGGGACCATTCAAAGTTACAACGGCACTGAAAAAAGTGACTTCTGACCATTTTTCACACTCACGACCATTGCACCATCCATCCCCACGGTCACATGATTTACGTTCACATCCTTGATTCACTGATTCACATTTATGATGGTTGCAGTGTCCCTTGTGATCCACCTTTTATGACCTTCTGATGGGCATAGTCGATGGGGAAGCCAGATTCACTTAACAACAGGGTTACTCATTTAACAACTGCAGTGGTTCACTTAGTTCAACCGTCATCAAATGGGACAAACTCACTTAATAGATGTCTCATTTAGCAACATAAATGTTGGGCCCAATTTTGGTCATAACTTGAGGATTACCTGTATTTTACTATGGCCATCCCTAAATTAGCAAATTCCTCTATGGCCATTCCAAAGTTAACAGATTTAACTTATACAACCTTTTCTGGAATCCGGGCAGAGTTCGAACAATAACCACAGTACTTTGGTACCCAATCTTTGAATTCTTTTGCTCAAAAGAAGATGGGTCACTTGATGTGGTGTCGTGCTTATACAAGCCCACTATTTCCCCCCCCAAATGAAACAGTCGACGAAGAGAACACTTTTCTGACCTAGGATTCCCAAAAACACGAAGCCGTCTCCTTGTCCCGATAAAACCCCTTTTATTTAGTTTAAAGTGAATTCCTCTCCAGCAAAGTCCCGGCCAACAGTCTTTCATGAGATTTCACAACTACAGACCTAAGTCAGGCTTGGAGAGCTGCCAGGCCGATATCTTCTAAACGCCATGCTCTAGCAGCAAATACTTCGCAAGAAGTCAGGAACAGATCTTCCCCCTAATGAATTGAACTGATTGTCTCCTGCAAACTCCCCTCCCCTTTCGCTCCTCTTTCTTCCCTATGGGAGGGGCCATTTGCTGTCCAGCTGTGCCTTTACTCCCGAGTTGGCCCTTGTTCCTCAGCTGTTCCCTTCTCCTGGCAGCTCTGTGCATGTGCACATTGGGAACAGGCTCTAACTATTCTTCTGCCCCACTGGTATCCGACTCTGAAGGCAGCTGATAACTGTCAGACGGCCCTGGCCTCCTCTCTGCTTCCGACACAGAACCCTCGTCAGAGCCTTCCCCAGACTCCAGGACTGGTTCATATTCCTCTCCAACCTCCTCACTGTCCGAGTCTGCTGCCAGATCTGTTGGCCACTGATGGGCCACAACAAACACCAGTTGCCTTCTGTCCTTCCCTACCTTTTCTTCCGTAGGAAAGCCGGGTCAGTAAGGCAGTAGAAGTGATGATTCAGCACGTGGAGAACTTAAAGCGTACATACGCAAGAGAACACGCAGAATTGGAAGAGCTGAAAGAGCTATTACTCCAGAATGAGAAGTCCTTCAGCTCTTTGGGGGACCGAGGTAACCGGCAAGGTGATGTGGACTGAAACAATGGCGACATCATCTTCCCTGCCTTTCCTCTCCAGGGCAAGTTTGGTGGTCTAAAGCAGAAGCCTCCAAACTTAGCAATTTTAAAACTTGAGGACTTCAACTCCCAGAGTTCCACAGCTAGCATAGCTTGGCCACATCACCTTGGCAAAGCTGGCTGGGGAACTCTGGGAGTTGAAGTCCTCAAGTCTTAAAGTTGCTGTGTTTGGAGGCTGCTGGTGTAAATAATCAGATGCTGTGTAAAATGACTATCTGTGGAAGTCCATTAATGCCGTGTGTTGTGCATGCCCTAGGCTCAAATCAGGCAATAGCAGTAGCCCTTAGACTTATATACCGCTTCACGGTGCTTTTACAGCCCTCTTTAAAGGGATATCAGAGTCAACCTATTGCCCCCAATAATCTGGGTCCTCATTTTACCCACCTTGGAAGGCTGGAAGGCTGAGTCCAACCTTGAGCCTGATGAGATTCGAACTGCCCAGTTGCAGGCAGCTGGCAGGCAGCAGAAGTAGCCTGCAGTACTGCACTCTGATCACTGTGCCACTGCGGCTCGATGGTGCCTCCTTCAGCTATTCCCATTATTACATGATCATGCCGGACTTTTTCTGTGAAACACATAGCCCCATCCATCAACCCAACTAAGTTGATTTTGACCAGGTTATGTTAAGATACAGCCTGTTGTGCCTTAAAATGGCTTCTACTGTACAGTGCAGTGGAGTTGCCATGGTAACAGCATGGTAATTTCCACAAGGGGACTCCCTCTAGTAAGGAATATCCAACATTAGAAATTACATTTCGTCCGGACATATCCCCCCTATAAATAAATACCCAGGCAACGCCAGGTTATCAGCCAGTTGCAAGCTCCCGCTGCAGGAAGGCCTACTAGGCCCAACATGGGGTACGGGAATGGGCAGCACGCACACCCACAGCCCATTTTTGCTTCCAGGGAGTGCAGGAGGCTGAGTGCTGCCTGTCATGCCTCCTGCCCACCCAGTCATTAGAGCAGAGAATTGGTTGTTAAATTATTTGAATCTCACGCCTGGATCCTAGGGCAACCCAAGGAAAGGCAAACAAATGGCCATCCGCTGAGCAATGGAAGAGGTGATCCTACTCTGGACATCTTCTTCAAACCAATTCGCTCCCCCAAATCCAGACTAAGCTACAGAGATCCCCATCCCACAAGTCCCTCGTCTAGTTTTATTGACGTTCCTTGCTTCCCTGATTAATGTATATTCTTCCACTTCTCTTGCACTTTCAGATGACTCTTCAATTAAAAAACTCTCTGGTTCCCTCAAGGTACACATGTTGCAAGCACCTTGCTTTCTGCGCACTCTTCTTGCGCTGTGCACGGCCTTCGCAATCCGATTGTGATGCTTTTGAGCAATTCTTGCCATTTCTCTTTTTTTTCCCTCCTCTCTTTTCACAGCCTTGCAAAATGCATAATCCTAGTTCATTGAAGTTTCCAATGATGCCCCTGAAAATTGTTTACAGTTTTCTTGTGTAATGCCTTGAATTTGTACTATTTTGTGGCCAGGTCTTTTCAATTCAGTCTCCTTGGGTTTTTTTTTTCCTTCCCTTTTTCAATTTGTTCCTCTTCACACTGAACAGAATTCTGTGTTTGTGGTCCCTCTAGATTGTAGCTCAGGAGATGGGTGATAGTAAGTATTGCAACTGCAATTAATATGTGATCAAAAACTCAGGAACCATGGTTTTCAGGGAATCACAGAGCCAAATTTGCAGCTGGGAGAGTTGGACTTCCGATAGTTTGTTTTCTGCATAATAGCACTTAGACTTATATACCATTTTATAGTGCTTTACAGCCCTCTCTAAGCAGTTAACAGAGTCAGCCTATTGCCCCCAACAATCTGGGTCCTCATTTTACCCACCTCGGAAGGACGGAAGGCTGAGTCGACCTGGAGCCTGGTGAGCTTTGAACTGCCAAATTGCAGGCAGCCGGCAGTCAGCAGAAGTAGCCTGCAGTACAGCACTCTAACCACTGCCCCACCGAGGCTCTTGCTGAAGTAAACTGACGAATATAAAACGGTACACAAATCGTTCATGCAGACTAAAATGTCTTTATTACATTTCATTCCAGTTTCAAAAAAAAAAGTATTTACAAATTCAGATGGGTATTTTCAAAACAATTTTCAAATGAGTATTACCCTCATCCCACATTGCTGGTAAATCAAATAAAACAGCTATCTGGATTTCAGACAGGTGTCTTAAATGTTCATCTTGAAAGGTGAAAAAGTTGCATTTCAATGTTTATCATGAGTTACTTAAGCTACTTTGAAATACAGTTTCTTTGCACACCTCCTCATCTGGGAGGATGGGATAATAATTGGAGCATGTATTTGTGCTCCAAATTTGAATTCATATTTCTAGTGAACCTTTAGATGCAATTGAGAATCATGAATGAAGGCAAATATACATGTCCCGGGATAATGTTGCAGGATCCAATCTGGGTTGGTTACCGGGACTGGAGATCCTCCTGAATTTTCAGGCTGCAGCCCATCCTCAGGGAATTTCTCTCTACCAGAATGTGTGTGTTTTTGTGTGTATGTTTTGGACTATTTTGTACGTGGCATTTATATGGTGCCTGGTTGTGTGTGGCTTTTTAGTTGTTGATTTGCCTTTACTCTCTGGAAACAAATACTGTGGCGGGGTAAGACACCCCTAATACCCTTTGGGGGGGGGTGTCGATGTGTGTGTTCCAGCATAACTCTGGAATGCCTGGGCTGCTGAAACGAAAAGGAATGAATTATAACCTCAGTGTCAAATCAGTACTTTTGACAGTAATAGTGTGTATTAGTGTGATAGTGTTCAGATGCAGCCTGTTGTGCCTTAAAATGGTGTCTACTGTACAGCACAGTGGAGTTGCCATGGTAACAGCTTCACAGTACTCCACAAGGCGGCTCCAACCTAATGCAGAATTAGGATAAATAAATACCCGGGCAACGCCGGATTATCGGCTAGTCAACAACTAAAAAGCCACACAAAACCAGGCACCATATAAATAACACATACAGAATAGCCCAAAGCACAAGCACATTGCTAGAGAGAGATTCCCTGAGAATGGGTTCCAGCACGAGTCCAAAAGCTTGGAAGAGTACATTTCGAGTCCAGATGACCAACCCAGATTGGATGCTGCAATTGAGAATGATCCACTTTCACTGACTTCACTAAGATCAGAAGTAAGTTTGATGATTTTGGGAAAGGAGGAAAAATGGGTAACGTGAGCTATAGGATTTTGAAAAAACTGTGTATTAATTAAGCAGGAAATTCAAGTTGGTGGTAAGAATTTTTTTTAAAAAAATCAAGGAAAGTATCTGTGCGTGGCTTTAGCCTTTTATCTGTGCTATTTATTCATTTACCAACCAATTCCTGACCTCAATCTCTCTCCAAAATCGTTCTTAAGTGTGAACAAAATTACAGCTTGAAATACCAATATTTGACCCTGTGAGTCAAATTACAAATACTGTGATAATTGAGTTTCTGCAGCAGTTGGGATCCTCTCATATGTCATATAAACTGGTGGATTCTAAAAAAAAAAAAAACCCACATTGAAATAATGAATATATGGTAGTCCGAACCATATATTTCTTTGGAGACTGTGAAATATTTGTAATGTTGTTTTATCTGCATTTGATCATTCGGTTGCTTGTCGATAGAAAAATGCAGATCACATTTCATTTAAATAGTTGCTGCTGAGGAACTGGCTGGAAAATGTACCTAGCTAAAGTCTGTGGACCTTCTATGCTTTTAGTGCTCCCATTAACTATTGTAATACGTTGCTTTGCTTAGATCCCATAATTTACAACCCGAACCCCTGGGCTGCGAACCGGTATCAATCCGTGGCCTGTTAGGATCTGGGCTGCACAAGCAAACTTTATCAGCGCCTGCGAAGATCTATTGCGTTTCCCTGAAAATAAGACAGGGTTATATTTTCTTTTGACCCCCCCCCCAAAAATAAGTGCTTGGCCTTATTTTCAGGGAGGTCTTATTATTTTGAGGTGCAGGAGGCCCCTTAACCTCGGCCCGCGACCTGTGGATCAGCTGATCCAGAGAGGGGCGGGAGTTCTGTCTCTATTTCTGGCGCACTCTTGCCAGCCCTAATGTTGCTGGGCCTGCCTCTCTTTTTGCAGCTGCCACTAAGAGAAGGGGCGTAGGAGCTAGGGTTTGCAGGAGCGCCCTCCACAAGGCCATTCCGCGTGGATGGCAGGTGCATGTGGGGTGGGTGGGGCATGTTTCCCCCTTCTCCCGCAGGAACTGGCGGGGGCCTGCTGCGCATGCATTTAAATATTTTAGGGGAGGACTTATTTAGCGCATGCGCTCAAAAGCCCATTTGGGCTTATTATCCAGGGGGGTCTTATTTTGGGGAAAAGAGGGTAGGGAGCGTGCAAAACCACAACATATCACTACCCTGCTCCAAAAATCATTTTCCACGGAATCGGTTCCTGGTGCCCCAAAGGTTTGGGACCCCTGCTTTACATGGCCCAGATGAGTGAAGTTCCTGTGCAGAGAAGAGCCACTGTGTGTCCTTCTATCTCTCTTTATTTGTAGTTGGTAGCAATAAGAGAGGCTGGATGTAGAAAGGGGAGTTGGGCCCAGGATTTTGTAGAGTTTTTACGACATGTTCTGTTCAGTGACGAGTACCCATTTGCGAAATCAGCGATGGAACTCCATGCAACCTCTTAAATCGGCTTAGAACCGTGTTTTTCAACCTTGACAATTTTAGGGGACTGCAGCTCCCAGAATCACAGAATAACACGTGACCTTGGAGGTCTTCTAGTCCAACCCTCTACTCGGGCAGGAAAACCTATACCATGATTTCAGAGAATTGGCTGTCCAATCTCTTCTTTAAAACCTCCAGTGTTGGAGCATTCACAACTTCTGGAAGCAAGTTGTTCCACTGATTAATTGTTCTCACTTGTCAAGAAATTTCTTGCTTCTCGCTTGGTTCTGTCCTTGATTAGTTTCCACAAGTGGTGGGTTGCCAATTTTTTTTTTACTGCCGGTTCAGGCGTGTTTCTGCGCATGCACAGAAGCGTCTGGGTGTGTGGGCAGAGCCTCCTGCCGCTGCTACTACCGGTTCAGCCAATCCAGGCCGAACCGGGAGCAACCCACCTCTGGTTTCCACCCATTGCTTCTTGTCCTGCCTTCGGGTGCTTCGGAGCATGGGTTGACCCCCCCTCTTCTTTTTGGCAGCCCCTGAGATATTGGAACACTGCTATCCCCCCTAGGTTGAAAAACACTGGTTTAGAAATTCTGCTTCGTTCACCCAAGCCTCACCTTTGCCTAGATTCAGAACCGCAGGCGCCTTGCAGGATGTACCGTACCTAACTGATCAAATAGTGTTTCTTGTTTTGTGTAGCCTTCATCACTACGCAGAGTTAGCACTGCACCCATGCCTAGGAACAGTAATGGAAATGCAATCACTTTTTTGCAACTGGTATGTAGGCGTTTTCCAGTAGTAACCGTTCCTTCACTTTAAAAGTAGTAGCTGCACTTACATGGTGACCTCTCCTCCTTTCCCTGTTCCTACAAAGGCGCAGATGAACGAAGCGGATGGAAACAACCGGCATGAAAAATTCAACAGGCGCTCGAGTTGGTACGTAGGGCATTGTGCATTTGGGTCTGCGTGCACCCCTAAGAGAGCTACGTTATGACCTAGGCTCACTTGCCAAAAGCAGGGGGAGTGCAGGGGGGGTCGTGCACAGGCATGCCACACCCATAATGTTATGCGTGTGACCCAGCGCACATGCGAGTGCGACCAACACCTCCCCCCCCCCTGCTTTTGGGATGCTTTTTTCGCCCTCTCCAGGTTCCAGACGCTTTCTAGGACCCCGGGCAAGGCGAAAACAGCCTCCCCCGCCCCCCCGGAGCCCCTCCGGAGGCTTCAGGGACTTCCCTGAAGCCTCCAGAGCATGAAAAACCGGCCCTACAGACAAACTGGAAGTTTGGGAATGGACCAACTCGTAGAGCAGTTTCTTGCTCTCTGGAATCTTCAGGGAAGCCTCTCGAAGGCTCCGGAGGGCAAAAAACAGCCTCAAAAGAAGGCCAAAGTCAACTGACAGGGCAACGCCTTGCGTGCCCTAACAAATGGCTCCATGTGCCATAGGTTCGCCATCACGGACCTAGGCTTAATAGAATCACGAAACAGACTCCTTGTCCCGCAAAAACCCCTTTTTATTTGGTTAATGTGAATTCCTAGCATTCACATCCAGAAAAAGTCCCGGCAAACAGTCTTTCAAGGTGCAATTGCAACAACAGACCTTATCAGTCCTTGGATAGTTGCCAGGCCGAGAACTTTTCTAGTTGTCACACTGTACAATGAAACACCTGGCAGAGACTCTCTGTGAGGCGCAAACTCAGATTAAACAAATCTACACAATAATAAACGAACTAATTGTCTCTCGCAAACACCGCTCCCCGTTTGCTCCCGCCTGTTCCCTATGGGAGGGGTGGGAGGGGCCATTCAACATCTGCCTGTGCCTTCACTCTCGAGTCGACCCCTGCTCCCTAATTGTTCCCTTCTCCTGACAGCACCCCAATGTCAGGGTTCTAAGTAACACAATGGTAAAATCTAATCCCCCCCCCGCCCACCCAAACTGGTTCTGTGGGTATGGTTGTTGTTGGTGGTGGGTGTCATGTGACTGGGTGGGCATGGCCAACTTTTTCTCACTTTCAGCTATTTTTTTAGCCTTTTAAAGTTTGCCCAAGAAAAAATGCTTTAAAAAACTTTAAAAAAAATAGCTGGGAGCCGCGTGATCGTCGGAAGCTATTTTTTTAGCTTTTTAAAAGCTTTTTTTCCCTGCTGGTTCTTCTCCCCTCTCCTTCCCCTCCTCTCCTTACCCTTCCCTCTCCTTCCCTTCCCTCACCTTTCCTCTCCCCCTCATCCTCCTCCACTCCACTCCCCTTTATTTCCCTCCCTCCCTCTTTCCCCCTTTACTCTTTTTTCTCTTTCTCCCTCTTCTTTCCTTTCTCTTCCTTCCTTCCTTCCTGTACTTTTCTTGGAGGGGGGAATATTTAATGAAAAAAAAAGCAGCCAAATTTTCTTTTTAAAGAAAGCCTGTTTGATTCACCTTTTCTTTAGGAGTGTCAGAGGAACCAAACAAGGAGAAAAACGGCACTCTTTACAGCGCCTCATCAGCTCAACGTCCTGGACAGAATCGGAGGAAGAACAACTCGAATTAGAGTGAGTCTCATTTTTCCTCCTGGCACCCTAAAGACGGGAGTTTCTCCCCTAGAAGCCACTCATTTCTCTTAAGCACAGAAAGAGGATTTGTTCTAGGGGGTTAAAGAACAAGGCAGGTGAATCGTGACTCTGCTGAAGACGCTATCAACATGGCAATCTAGAACCGTGATGGCGAACCTATGGCACGCATGCCAGAGCCCTCCCTCTAGGTGGGCATGCGTGCCGGCCAGCTGGTCTTCATAGGCATCAGAAAACGGCCCCCAAAACGGCCCAAAACAGCCATTTTCCAGCTGTTTTTCGGGCCGTTTTGAGGCTATTTGGGGGCCATTTTTCAGTCTGTTTTTAAGCCGGTTTTCAGGTCAAAAACAGCCCCAAAACCGGCCTGAAAATCTGAAAAACAGCCCAAAAACCAGGCTGCTTTTTGGGCCATTTACCAGTCCATTTTCAGGCTGTTTTTCGCACTGTTTTCAGGCCATTTTGAGTCTGTTTTTTTGGACCATTTTTCAGGCTGTTTTCAGGCTGGTTTTCAGGTCAAAAACTGGCTGAAAAATAGCCCAAAAACAGCCATAAAACACCCAAAAAAGCCAGCCCCAAAACAGGCATATGGATGCTGGCCAGCTGGTCTTTGGGTTTCCGGGCACTCCAGTGCACGTGCATGCACATACATGCACATTCAAGTTTGGGCATTCAATGCCAAAAAGGTTCGCCAGCTAGAGCAATATTTCTCAACTGAGGCAACTTTAAGATGTGTGGACTTCAATTCCCAGAATTCCCCAGTTAGCATCCTGGCTGGGGAATTCTGGAAGTTGTAGTCCACACATCTTGAAAGCATGATGGCTGGGGAATTATGGAAGCCAATGTCCCTATATCTTAACATTACAAAGGTTGAGAAGCGATGATCTAGAACCATCTTGGATGAGCAGGGCCTTTTTAATCCAGAATCTAAATCACCCCTTACAGGGCTTCTCTTCAGGAACCGGCAGCTCCAGAGATCCAGGGAGGTAAAGGACGAAAGTTGAGCGAAAAGGAAGCCAACACGACAAAATGGAGCCTACGCTCACTGTAAGTCTAGAAGGAAAGGAACAAGACAAATGCTTTGTGGGAATCATCTTCTCTTACCGACCCCATAATCCTTGGCAGGGTGGAATCTGGGCAACTGAATGGAGCTGAATGTTTACTGGCGAGATGCCCTTCCTGTTGCCAATGCAGAGTTTTGTTCAGCAGATACTGCAAAATCTCCATTCCTTCCCCGCTCCCGGGGAAGGATACTGCAAAATCTCCATTCCCTCCCCACTCCTGGGGGAAGGATACTGCAAAAATCTCCATTCCCTCCCTGCTCCCGAGGGAAGGATTGTGCAAAATCTCCATTCCCTCCCTGCTCCCGGGCGAAGGATTCTGCAAAATCTCCATTCCCTCCTTGCTCCCGGGCGAAGGATTCTGCAAAATCTCCATTCCCTCCT